ATTAAAGGCCATTTGTCAAATATTTGTTAGACTTACCAAATGATTCAGTCTTTAATGCTTCAACATCCTCAGTGCAGCCAAAACTACCCGGGAGTTTAATATCATCAGCAAATGTTTTATAATCTAGGTAACAAGTAAGATGTTCAAAAATATAGATTAAAGGGACTATGCTGGACTCAAAATTTATGAAGTGGGAGTGATAATGTGTGAACAGTGAAACAAAAAGCCATTATTTATGGTTATTTTTAAATGAAAATTTTGTTGTTTACCATTTGCTCTCAGAATTTTAGACATACCATACACAGAATTGAGGAAGAAAACAAAGACAAGTACCGACGGATTCAAGTTTTTTTATAAACCTTTTTGACGGATGTTGATTTTTCTCTTTTCCATTGGTATTTTTTCTCTTAGAACTCAATTTTGGGAGTGTATCAGTAGTGATTGCAATGGTACGTTTTGTTTGGCAATGAAAGCAATTTTTAGGTTTGGTTTATGATTAATCAAATGTTGACTTGCTTGTTTTATTTTTGTCATGTAATGAATGAATTCTTCCTGATCCAATCAAGTCTCAGACTGATTTTTGGTACAAACTAAGAAGATGGTGTAAATTTCAGTATCGAATCTTGATTTATGGTTATCCTTGTTGGGATTGACCATCTAAGTGAGGTCAAAGATCAAAATTCTGATTGTTAGAAAAAATGGCATATTTGACTAGAGCACAGAGAGTTTTACAGCAATAGTTAATGTAGCATTAAAAAAACATTATTGGTACTTTTTGTCATTGTTCTCATCTAGATGCTGTTTTGGGTCAGATATTTGGTTACATTTTAAATATAAATTGTTTGACCTAGATAGGTGAAACTTGGTGAAATTTTTGTCAGTATGGCATCAACATTGCTGCCAAACATCAAAATCAGTGGACCTTTAGATTGAAGATGACATGGATGACCCAAATTTCGTATAATTCTGTAAAATCTCCAATCTGTGTGTCAGTTTAAATTTATTAATCTTGACATTTATCCCTGATTTTTTTTTTCATTCCTTGCTCTTCTTTTCCACTTTTTAGGAATATGTTTATCTTGAACTAAAAGAAATTAATTTTTTTAATTTTCCCAAATCTGTCCCACACATTCTAACTCAGTATCCAAATTCACTGATGATAAATATTGTTTTATGGCCTAAAAACTGGCTGTGTGAAAATAAGAACTAATATTTCATTTGTCATCTTAATATGTAACAAAATACAAAACAATTTGTAGCCATATCATCATTAGTGATTAATGACAAATCTAAAATGGTATTTCTTTCCAGTTTGCTCTTTGATCATTTCTATAGAAAACCAACATGAATCACTTCAGTAAATCTGACTGTACAATCCAAGTTTTTCTGAAATTAATTCTCTCGTAATTGTTTCATAAGTTTTCTGAGTAATAACAACCCTGATTGCATTATATAATTTCTCAGTGATCTTCATCTGTCTAATTAGGTGACCTTTAACAGTTGCCAATTAAAATATTTTTACCCTTGAAACCTGTGACGAATCCCTATAGATTCAGTCTCTTGACAACCTTTATGTTAGCAATCCTAACAGGCTGCAGTTCATTCCTTATATAAAGAGCAATTCCTCCCCCCTCTTTTAAAAAGTTGTCACTATTAAGTAATTTATAGCATGGAATTTCATAATAATTCTTATTATCATTGTTCTCTAAATCTATCCATATTTCAGTAATTCTCATTATATCATAGTATTTCTTTTGAGCTAGAGCTCTGAATTCAAACAATTCTGGCTAGTTCTTGAATCTCAGGCTTATTTTTAAAATCTTTTTTAGCTTGTTATGCTCATAATCTCCTATTTCCAAATTCTAACTGCTCTAGCTGTTGTATCAGTTTCTTTATTCCCAATTTCCCTCACCACTGTACTTCTATCTTGAAGTTTCACTTTTGTATGGAAGTGCATTATGCTAATATGATAGTAAATTGACAAACAAAGATTTATAAGCATAATGATGTGACAACATTCCTTAACATTAAGCCCTTGCATCTTTTTTCTTTCTACCATACAATTTTATAAACACTATGTACTTAGCTGTGGATCATACCTGAAGAAGAGAGACCAATATCCTGTTGAAACACGTAATGTGTTTCCCAAAATAAAAACCACTTCACTATGCTTATAAAACATTGCTTATCAGTTTACTATTATGTTGAAGTTTACTATTTTATAAATTTATATCCTGTGTACCTACCCTATAATTGTATTTTTAACTAAAATGAATCATTTTTACAGTTTGTGGAATAATCTAATACTAAAATCTATTAACAAATATTGATATTATTATTTACTAATATCACAATATGATGTTCATTGGTGTATGTCCTCAGTTACTAATATCACAACAATGATGTCCATTGCTGTACGTCTTCAGTTACTAATATCACGATATGATGCCCATTGCTGTACGTCTTCAGTTACTAATATCACGATATGATGCCCATTGCTGTATGTCTTGAGTTACTAATATCACAACAATGATGCTCATTACTGTACGTCTTCAGTTACTAATATCACAACAGTGATGCCCATTGCTGTACGTCTTCAGTTACTAATATCATGATATGATGCCCATTGTTGTATGTCTTCACTTATGTATAATTAACTTCTAATTTAGATGATGTGTATGGAATTTTCATCAGCTACGAAATAACAGAAAAAGTAACTTCAACTCTTTAAGATAAATTATTCTTCTTACTTAACTAACACTTGTGATAATTCTTTATTTTAGAGCAATATTTAATATTTGTAGTATTATAATCTAGTATTATTTCTTCAAACCAACAATAGATTAAGCCTAAAGTCATAGCTTTAGGCTTAACTGTACCTGCAACTATAAAACTTTAAACTGACCAATCTTAAATAACCTGACTGTATAATATACTAAAATAACTACTCCAAACTTTAATAAAATAAGTATTTTTCTAGAAAATTTTATCATCTAAAACTGAAAGTATCTTTAACTGCTTTGTCTCGAAGTTCAGAAATACTACATCTGTTACTCTAAACAGTATCCTCTAGGGATTGAATATGTAAATTTTCTAATAAAAAGCATAATTATATGTATGCAACCTTGAAGCTCGTGTGTGATGTCATGTCTCATAACTGACCAATAGATTACATGTTTGATATGTGTGTACATTAAGTTACAGGAAATTCCAGTTGATGACTATTTCATAAAACAAAGATATGACACAGTTAAAGTTATATTGTAACTGTAAAAATGAGAAGATAGTACAAGGGACATTCTTGATGACTGTATGAATGCCAATGTGATCCCCATTCTTTGAAAGAAATGGCTTGGGGAGGATCAGGGAAATGATAGATTGGTTAGTTTTATTTTTTGGAAATGTGTTGAATATGCTGTCAGAATTCATTTATAAAAACAAAACATATAGAAATTTGACACTTAATGATACTCTGCAATGTTTTAAGAAAACTGTTTTCTTGTTTCACTTATTTACTAATATGTTGGGCTTTTTGGATAAACATAGGGTCTCTGCCATATTAGATGAGGGCATTTATAATAATCCTATCTTTAATAAGGTGCATTATTAAATATTAATTAGTAAGTTAAATTCTTATGGAGTCAAAAAAAAGGAAAAAGTAGGTATTGGTAGAAAGAAGAAAGGGATGATAAATGATTATTTTTCTCAATTGTAGAATGTGATTAATGGAGTGCACCAGGGGTCTGTTTTAGAACATTTGTAGTTCATTATTTATATTAGTGATTTGTATAGCTTCGTAATGAGTAATATTCCCATGTTTGCTTATAACACTAATGCTGAGTAAAGTTGATTATTTTGAGAATAATAATTCTTTACTTTAATATTTAATAACAGTAGTATCTTATAACCTAGTATTACTAACCTCATACCCACAATAAGTTAAACTTAACAATCTAGTGTTACACCTAATATTATAACCTTAGACTTTGATGTTTCTGCAGTATTATAACTTCAAAATTTCAGTGAATGGACCAGAATGTAGAAAATGGTTTTTAATATTGATACGTGTAAAGATGTGCACTTGAGGTGAGGAAATTTGAAAAGGAATTTTTTTTTTGTCAAAAGAAGCATTGGGTTTTGAAAGAGAGTAGAACTCAGGCTTAATTCATTATAAAACCCTTAATCCTTCTGTTATATGTTCAGTTGTAATGGAAGTAGCAGTTTTTGATGCTTTTTAAATGAATTTAATTTAGTCTTAAAGCTAATATTGTAATTTTAGACTTAGTGGTACCCACAGTAATAAAACTTGAAAATCTTAGTGAATGGACCAGAATATGGAAGATGATTATTCAGAGGTATAAAATTATTCTCTTGAGGTGATGAAATTTGATTCAGGTGGCTAAAATTGTTTGGTTAATTTGCTTGTGGGTAGTTATTTAGGCTTTGGGAATGAAAATATGAGAAAAGTTCTTAAGTACTAGTTTCGAAACCCAGATGTATTCTTGTTCATACTGCAAAACAATTTTTATATTGGTAATACTTTTTTATTCCATAAAATATTCAGTGTTAAAAATAAGCATTTTGTTAATTATCTGTAATAAGTAACTTAACAGAAACTTAGCTGTTATAGTTCCACCATTATCCCTTCTTGGCATACTTACACTTTTTATTAGTTACAAATATCAGTTTTTACAATATATAGATGTGAATTTCAAAACCATGTTATGTTACTAAGGGCTAGTGTCACATGACACTGTGTTTCTTTCTGTGGATTACATCAACCCAAAGGTAATTTTCTGAAATTTTCCAATAAAAGGGCCTTTTTTTTTCAATCTGAACTTTAACCCTTATTCTGTAATATCTTTTGATGAAATTTATTGAGCGATCTTACCTTATTTGATGGAACATGGTACAGGAACTCAGCTTAGCTGGTCAGGATATGGTAGTGTTATCTTGTATATGTTTATATATGTTTCATTCTAAATCTTTTTTGTTTTTAGTATGTTCTCAGGATGGTGTTGGAAGCGATGAAGGAATTAAAGTCAAGGAACAGAGTATTTTGGAATTGGGTCAACTGCTGAGTAAAAGTGGAAGGGCAGAAGGTAAAGTTCTATTTGTTATTAAAGTTGTAAGGTCATCAGACAAATGACTAAATTGTTAACCTGTTCATCTATTTATACCCATGAGTCACTGGTGTAAAGGTTATTTGCTTAAAGTTTATAGCAGTATTTTTTAAAGTTTTGAAAAACACTTGATCATGAAAAACGGCATTTAAAGTTAGTTTGATAAAACAGAATCATCCCTATAAGATAATGCTTGAGACTGCAGTAATGTCAAGCATATTTCATTGTCATTGATTAGTGAATTTCTGTTTTCTGCAAGATTGTTTTAAGTGCTTGACTGGAAGTAGACCTTTTAAAATGTAAGCCAGAAACTGAAAACACAGTCCAATATGAGTGACATCTTGTTCTCATAACTCATACTAACTTGAATAGTTTAATTCAAGAGTAAATGAAGAAAATTAACAGTTATAATACAATGTAGAATTTAGTTGTTTTTAAATAGAAAACCAAATCTACAGTTTACATGTGTAACATGATTAGTGGATGAAAATTTTTAATATTTAACTCACCTTTGACAACAGGTTTAAATAGAATGTGCAGTTAGTAAAGTTTGAGAAAAAGAATGTTGTTAAATGCTTTAAGCTCTGATGTTTCAGTGTTGAAGTAGTAGTACTAGTAGTTTTATGGAATTTGTCATGGCATCTCTAAGTGACAATACATATGTAAAAACTATATCTGATCAGAAATAATTACAGTAGTAGTAGTTTTATGGAATGTGTCATGGCATCTCTAAACGACAATACGTATGTAAAACTGTATCTGATCAGAAACGATTACAGCTTTGCAAGAGAATAGTTGTTTTTCAGTAGTTATAAAATTAGCATTATACACAGCAAATATAAACAAATGTAATGGCCAAAAGCAGTTTTTATTGTGTTAAGAATTTACATGGTTTTTAATCATGAAAATAAAAACCAAAGTAGTCAAACTTTGAATATTTGTTTAATTTATTCTTACATAGTTATTCATCATTACCCAGTAATTCAGGTGTTGTTTGGTGTGAGAAAGTAGAATTAAACTGTGTGTAAAGTAACTATTCAGTAAAGACAAGATGTTACTTAGACAAACACTGGTCAATCTAATGGCATCTATTCTTTAGTTACATTTTATCAAAAAACTTGAGAATAGCTAAGTATAGATAAAAATGTGATTGTAAGGGGGGGGGTATGTTATCAAGTTAATTATTGCAAATAATGCTTTTCACATGATACTAATGATTAGTTTTTAGCAGGCAATAGGTAATATCTAGCATTTTAATAACTGTTTTTTCTTTAGTGATAACTTAGGAGTTAAAATAGTCTTTGTGATTTTACTATACAATGGAAGTTAAATGAATCTAATTACTTTCTCTCCAGAACTTGGAGAACTCATTAGATCAACACGTCCATTTCTGAACAACATCAGTAAAGCTAAAGCTGCTAAACTGGTTCGAGCTTTAGTTGATATGTTTCTTGACATGGAGGCTGCCACTGGATTTGAGGTAATTTCTAATGTTGTACATTGCAGTTACCGTAGTTGAAGTGAGTTCTGATATATTTTGTTTGTTAAGTGTATAAGATTCTATAGTATAGTATTTCATACCTGAACATCAGAAAACTTCTGTTTCAGTTTATTTACTGCAATATTATTTATTAATTGTAGAACTATTAGTCAAGTTTAAACTAAAATAATGCTTCTTCGGAACATGCAAAAAAAATAATTTGTTTGTTTTTGTTTTGTTAAACCATGTAATGTGCTCTTCACAATTCGTGAACCTGTCTTTTGTGAAGAAGTCATCATGTATTGATACATGTGTTTATTTGAAGTAACTGTAGTCATCAGGCAATTTTTTACTAAAAAATTTGTGAATATTTTTATTTTTAGAACAACCAATAACCAAACCATAAAAATCTAACTGGATACAAAAATTGTTGGATAACTATAGTATGTAATTTTCACACCAGTCACTCCTGACATTATTAAAAACTGCTTGTAGATTGGATTGTATAATTATTGATTAATTAGTTTAGATAAATGTATTGACTGTAGTGACCATGCAGTACGTTGTCATTATCTTGGAAAACAGTTTAACGATATTGTTGAAAATATTTTGAAGCCACATCATCTCACTGATGTCATATAAACAAGTCTTTACAAAGCTTGACACAAATTCTTGAACGTTTATTTACTACTTTGCAATGTATCCAGAACATGCCTTTGCTTCACTACCTTCTCTATTGTTGTATTTTAACCCCTTACCTACTGGGGCCATTTTGTCTTATCATGAGGGTGAAATCATATTTGTGAATTGAAAAAATTATAGAGAAATTATATTTTATTGGATTTCATGTTTGTAAATAGTAGCATAAAACTCAATTATTTGTACTAAATTGTATTATTTGATGACGTTTAAAGAGAAATTTAATAAAAATAATCCCAAAATACGTTTGAGACTATAAATAAGTGGATCTAAGAAAAAAAATATTTTCAGCATTTTTAAAAACATTTTCCTTGTGCTTTAGCACTGGTCCTGCCAATTATGATTGGTATCTAAACCTTTTTCTAGTCTGTTTTCTTTATAAAATAGCGTCTGAGCATGTCAAACCTCAGTTGTAAAACTTTTAGCCAATCCTAATAGGAAGGTGTCAATTTCAGTACCATGTTATTCCAATCCCTGTAGTTCACGTTTGATAAATCATAGGATTATAAGCAAAGCACATGACAAAACGTTGTTCTCTGGATTTTACAATATGAACGTCAAAGGTTCTTATTATAGTAACTGCCATTTTATGTAGAGGTTGTATTTAGTATTAGTCAATAGTACTTTTTTATAAGCCTTAGAAAATTTGCTTCTGGAAAAAACTGCATGGGATGTATATGATTTTTATTATTTTTTGATAGTAGCTTAAGTCATGCTGTATCATATATCTATTTCTATTAATTTTTATATTGAAAAATTAACTCAAAATAGATATATCTTTAGGAAAGAAGTTGATCCACGAATGTTAGGGTTAAGATCTATCAATTGGCAAATGCATGATCTTTACGTGAATTAGGCTTAGCACTTTGAACTGAAAGAGTTTGTGATTTTTTTATATTCTTTTGCATTTAAATTAGTAATTTTAAGTTCACTAATTTAGTGTAATTTTATATTTAGTTCATAATGAAAATATGATTCAGTATTTAAAATGATAAACTTGTACATACTACTACTAGTACCAGTACCACGTAAGAATTTTTTATTTTCCTTCTTACTATTTTTACTTTGTTGTTGCTTTATAATCAAAACAGTCTAACTGATATATAAAAAGTTTATTCTGATATTTTTCAAATGGCTTAAAACTCAGTGTACAAGTGACAACAATAAAACCCATATGTTGGATGTGAAACAGACTAAACACATTCGTCTCAATAATACAGAGGAAGCTATGACAATCTTACAGTTGGGGTGTCAATACACTGAAGAGCTTAAGTTTCAAATTTCAACATAAATCTTGCCTATAATGAGAGGAATGTGACCAGGACTAATCTTTTAAGTGCTGTAAAGTAATTTTCTTTGTAATATATGGTGTCTGTATCATTTGGTAATCTCTTCTGACAGGTTGTATCATGTAACTAGGGTCAGGCGGGGTTATTCAAACCACTTGTACTGTAAACTATTACATACATTCACTAGTCGTGGCAATTATTTTTGTCTGTAAAGTGAAACAACATACAAGGACATATGTTGAAATAAACTTGTTTCGAAAGTTCAAAGAAATGATATTCAAGTACCGAAAAGCTTTCTTACTATCAAATCTACAGTAATGTTCTAATGTGCCTGCACTAGACTGAACTAGAATGACCACCAACAGGCATGATAGTTTACGGCAAATGTACGAAATTCACGCTGCTAACCGAATGGTTTTTCAGTACAATAAACAAAAGTATGGCTGCAGTGAAACATGTAGTGTAAAATTGTTGATTATGCAGCAAAACTTAAAAGTATGCAAGTGTTATCTAAAGTAGAAACTTCTTTAAAAAAAATAACATTTAAGAGAATGTTAAGTGTAGTTAATGCAATTGCACCATCAACAGCAATTTGCCACTTATTTTTTGTGAAAACATCACACTTAAAAATCTTTTGACAGGCCGTTAATCAAAAGTATCTGATCAGCAGGCTCCACATGCAAAGCAACTGAGTTAAAACTTATAAATCTGCTAACACAAACCTAAGCTGGACTTTAATATGTCTCGAAATTTATACTTCAATTAATGCAGTCAACCATTACATAGTCATGTAAATTGTTAAAAAAATGCTCAGCTGTGTAGTCACATTAAAGCTGTTCATAAAACAAACCATTAAAGGCAACCTAACTTGAGTGTAGGCTTTGCTCCATTAAGTTTAATCAAACAGATACATCCATTTCTAGATCAAACCAGCTTCATCTTTCATGTAACAGACACGTACACTTTTAGGTCAGACCAGCTTCACATCACAGAAACATCCGTTTCTAGTGAGACCAGTTTCATCTTTCTTGTAACAGATACATACAGTTGTAGGTCAGACCAGCTTCATCTCTCACTTAACATAAACACACACTTGTAGGTTAGACCACATAACAGATACAGAAGTGGATGTATCTGTCACATAACAGAAATATCTACTTGTGATGTAAGGCCAGCTTCATTTCTCATGTAATAGAAAGAGATACATTCACATAACAGATACATCCACTTCTAGTGAGACTAGCTTCCTGTCACGTAACAGAAATATCTACTTGTGATGTAAGGCCAGCTTCATTTCTCATGTAATAGAAAGAGATACATTCACATAACATCCACTTCTAGTGAGACCAATCTTATTTTCCTTGTAACAGATTCATTCACTTGTAATTGGACCAGCTTCATCTTTCATGCAAAACACTTGACTCGTGTCTGTTTGGTTTGCATGGATAAACATCTGACTTTAGTGTCTATGGAACTATAGTGGAAGTATGTTTCACATCAAGTTAAACATCAATCCATCCCCACCATATCCAAGTGCATGCATACCAGCATCAAACCACTTTAAATGTTGCCTACTTTGTAAATTAGTTATCTCTTAAACAACCTTCATTTATAGACAATATACTTTGTATTATATCCTGACTGTGAGATAGCATTGATTGAACACTTCTGTGCATCCTACACATTGATCTAGCTTTATAGAAACACTATTATTTTTATTGTTGTTAATATTTATTATTATTTAAGTTACTGAAATATTTAAGAACAGAATTTTTTAACATATTATAACATTTCAGGTTGAATTGTGTAAAGAGTGTATAGAATGGGCAAAACAGGAAAAGAGAATATTTCTGAGACAGTCTTTGGAGGTAAGTTAAGTGTTATTCAGATTAAACATATATATGAAATGTGTGTAAATGAAAAATACTTTCTTTTTCTACAAATATTATATTATTATAATAGGAAGTAGGTACAGAATTACTTGTTTGTTTTGTGTCATTTTGTTATCAGGGTGCATACGCATCCTTGAAAGTCCTTCAAATTGAAAACAGAATTTCAAGGGCTTGAAAAGGGGCCTTTTTTTTGCAAAAGTACTTGAAAATATTATAATAGCAGAATACATTGATATATCTAACTTTAATTCATATTGCGTAGTTGAGCACATTAAATAAAGTCTTTCTTTTCTTTTTAGTCTACATTCATATGTAGAACAAATAAATAGGAATTTTATAAAATTTCACTGAAATCCGATTGATTTTGATGTAGATTTTAGCTTCCAAAAAGTGCTTGAAAAACATTCTAAAAGTGCTTTAAAAAGTCCTTGAAAAGTGCTTGAAGTTGATCTGAGCAGTTCAGTATGAACCGTGTGTTATATTGAAAATTGCAACATTTAACTAGCATAGTGTTTTGTTTTTTTATGTTCATATCTGTTGATCATTCTTTCTGATTATGGAATTTAGAAATTATTGTTTAATTTCCAATAGTTTCATGATTACGTTTAGTCAGAGGTTATTTAAACGTAAAGGTAATTTTGGCCATGCTAATACATTGTAATATTTGTGGGAGTAAATTGTTAGATCATATAAGCATTAACTAGGCTTACATGTCAGCATTCAAACAGATTCATATAAATCCATTTGTAGGTCAGACCAGCTTCATGTTTTATGTAACAGATACGTACACTTGTAGGTCAGACCAGCTTCATGTCTTGTGTAACAGATACGTACACTTGTAGGTCAGACCAGCTTCATGTCTTATGTAACAGATACATCCACATTTAGTGAGCCCAGTTTTATCTTCTTGTAACTGATGCATTCACTTGTAATCAGACCAGCTTCATCTCTATTGTAGCAGATAAATCCTCTAGTTTAATCAAACCAGTATCTTTCCCAACCAGTAGATACATGGCCTTCTATAACCTAAGATTAAATATGCTTACAGACAACAATGAAGTTTTAATCATATTTGGTTTACAGTTATTCAGTGAAGGGTATAGTTTGTTAAGAATTAGAAGACATGCATTAGTATTGGAAATATTATTGAATAGCATGAATAAATACTAGTGTATAATATTGAAAAAATGTGTATTTTTTCTTATATATACCTGTTTAATGCATAGGGAAGACATAGGGGGACCAGAACCCATTTGCATGTCTTCTTTGCTTTGTTTCTTCAGGAGTTTCATTTGACTGTGTCAGTTGTTTTCCTCTGCTTCAGTTATCGTAATATTTGCTAAGCTTTCTTGATTTTGTCATGCCATCCCTCTCTATTTTCCTTCTTTTGCTGTCCCCCAGTGGGAGAGCGGTAAGACTTTGGATTTACAATGCTAGAATCGGTAGTTCAATTCCCCTCAGTGGACCCAGCAGATAACCTGATGTGCATTTCTATAAGAAAACACACACACTTTCTCTCGCCAAGTGATGTTTTCTTTTTTGCACTATTTCTGAACTATTTTTAGCTTTATTCAGAACTTTATATGATTCTGATGGTGAAAAACAATGATTTCTTTGGTGTTATATAACACCAAAGATGACTAATTATTTTTGTTATAGTATATAAGACTAAAGTTGTCAGAAAATGATCTGTCTTTATGATGTGTAACAATGAAGTTGGCAATAAATTATCAATTGTTGGTTACTAACAAATGGAGAATTTTAGTTACACAATTGTTATAAATGTTTTCTTTTGTATTTATTCCATTATTTGAAATATTTAAAGTACGTGAAATGTTTATTGTTTGCAGGCTCGACTAATAGCCCTTTATTATGACACAGGAAAATACACAGAAGCTTTAGAACTGGGTAAGAGAACAACTTTTGGTTTTAGGTTTGTTTCATGTTTGTGCTTTCTTTTGGCTACATAACTGGAATATTTTGTTACCAAACTGTTCAAGTTACAAGCTTGGTCAACTAAATCAATGATATGTATATGGTGTACACACGTATATTAAATTGCTATCCATATAATTAATTCACGTTTTATAGTATGACTGGATTAAGAGAACTGTTAGAAAATAACTTAAGACTCAACAGCTCCTCAAAGAAAACCACAAAATTCAATTTTATTTATAAAGTATTTATTTTAATAATTTAAAACTGCATGAAGTTTACTAATTCATTAATGTTGACAGTTCTGGCATTTCTTCTTTCAGACTAACACTTTGATGATATTTAAATGATGATAATAAAAAATATCTAATTGAAATGTAGGAGAAACAATACATGATAATGAATCTACACATTTTATATATATATATATATAAAAGGTTTTAAAGTTTTAAGAATTGTAATAAAGTGAGATATATAATTGATACTTGGTGAAATTACAGAATTGAGGAAAAACAAGGCAATTGTACATTATTTCTGTGATATTTAACATATTTTAATTTTATAGTTCAAATTGAACTATGTTGCACTGAGGTCAATTCATTTTCACTATATTTAAATCCAAATTAGGAAATATTAGGATCTAGATATATTTTTCCAAGTGGTTCCCCAGTGGGACAACTGCAAGTCTATGGATTGACAATGCTACAACTAGGGGTTTGATTCCCCTCAGTGGACACAGCAGATAGACCATTGTGGCTTTGCCATGAAAAAAACAAAAACTTCTCCAAGTGTTTTTTACTTATTTTTTTTAAGTTTTTTTTTAAAGTTTTTTAAAGTGGGTACATTCTTGCATACAAAACTTATTTTAAAATGGGCTCTTATATCAGTGGTAATATTCTCCAATGACTCAATTTATTTAAAAAGTTAAAACTTTCTTGGTTTATACATAATGGATTGGTCAGATCTTTGTTGTGTGTCTTTTCTCAAATTCACGTGCTATGGACTGGTTAGATCCCTTCATATTGAACTGAGTATGGCCCAGTAGATGGTGTACTGGACTGTAGGTTTAGGTTCCTTGGTTCAAGCTCTTTTACTGGCAAAATAAAAATAAATTGTGCTCTGCACTTCTCTAGTCTATTGTTTGAAATTTAGGGATGATTAGTGCAGGTAGTCTTTGTTCATCTAATCATTGTAATGTATCAAATATTATGTCACCAAGTGTAATTACCTACTAAGATGATGAAAGTCTTTTATGCTTAACAGTTTTAAGAAAGCAGGGCATGACCAAATTATAATTAATTACACAATGTTTGACAAACATACTTACCAATAGTTAGAACAGGGCTGCCCAACTTCAAACCAATGGGGGCCAGATTGATTGTAACTTAGCAACCCACTTGCTGATTAAGAGTCTTTAATCTGTTATTATATTGAAATGCCAGACCATATAATATGTGTTTACTTATTTTGTTCAGAGCTACATAATAAATAATGTAAGTAGTTCCTTGCCTTTGTAAAATGTGAAATAATGATGTTTTTTATTTTAGAAACTTATATTTTAACTAAAGGAGTCTTCCAGTGCTTGGGGGCTGGAGGAAACCTGGATTATAACATTTTTTTTTGCCCAGGTGATGTTTGTGGTAATACATTTTGGGGATTGTATAATACACATTTGAGATTCAACCACACACCTTTGAACACGGGCAAATGTTTTGTGAGTGCTGGAAACATTTTTTTTATAGTTTATTCTGTGGGGTATGTGAAAACTTTGGATAATTGGTGAGATGTTATGTTTGCAATATAAAATGTTGAAACTTAAACCGATTAGTTTGTTTTATCTGCCGAAAATAAGTTGAAAACTGCTTATTAATGAAAAAAAAAACAACAAAGTTTGATACTTTAAATTAATTCTACAAGTTATTTTTAATTCTAGGCAGTATCCTTCTGAAGGAGCTGAAAAAACTGGACGATAAAAATCTTTTAGTAGAAGTTCAACTTCTGGAAAGTAAAGTCTACCATGCCCTCAGTAACTTGCCTAAAGCAAGGTAAAATATTTTTAATAAGTCACCAGTCTTTTTGAGAATGAGAATGGTATTGTTCTTGGAGTTTAAATTGTTAATTTCTAAAGTATGCTTGAAAAGATTTACTTGCATGTCTGTTTTGTCATTCATAGTGTATATCACTTGTTTATTTGATAATGGTTTGAACTTTTTGCCAGATTTTTGTTAAGTAGACAAGTTAGTCTTTGTTGGTTACGAACTACAAGTATTTATATTTTACTAAATAATTATAAATTGCATTATTTGTTCTTAAATGAATCAATTTCTTGAACTATCATAAAACTTAGCAAGTGAGGTATATATATATAGATAGATAAACTGAGGATCAAAGTTTCAAAATACATCTAAATTGTCCTTGTTTTACACTAATAAAAGAAGTGGTGTCGTTCATTATAATAATAAATTACAAAGTAAATCTGTTTACTTTATCATATAGATAATCAAACTTGTATATTTTAATTATTTCTCCGCTGGTGGTCAAATGTGACATCTTCAGTTAAACTTTGTATCTTTTAGATTTCCACATTTTCACACTCAGGTACCTGATACATGAAGAAAGTTAACAAATGAATGTTTTGTTTGGTGCCTTTTTTTAGTTTTAAAAATAAAGACAAGTGTATAACATCATTAAATTGTTTGTCATTCTGTTAAAGTGGTTGTATTTTGTTGTCATTACATTGTTTGTTATCCTGTCATCGTGGATGTATTTTGTTGTCTTATTGTTTGTTATTCTGTCAAAGTGGTTATATTTTGTAATTAAATAGTTTGTCATTCTGTCATCATGGCTGTGATTTGTCATCTTACTGTTTGTCATTCTGTCATCGTGGCTGTGATTTGTCATCTTATTGTTTGCCATTCTTTCAAAGTGGTTGTATTTTGTTGTCTTATTGTTTGTCATTCTGTCAAAGCAGTTGTATTTTGTCATAACATTGTTTGTCATTCTGTCATCATGGCTGTGATTTGTCATCTTACTGTTCGTCATTCTTTCAAAGTGGTTGTATTTTGTTGTCTTATTGTTTATCATTCTGTCAAAGCAATTGTATATTGTCATAACATTGTTTGTCATTCTGTCATCATGGCTGTGATTTGTCATCTTACTGTTCGTCATTCTTTCAAAGTGGTTGTATTTTGTTGTCTTATTGTTTATCATTCTGTCAAAGCAGGTGTATTTTGTCATAACATTGTGTGTCATTCTGTCATCATGGCTGTGATTTGTCATCTTACTGTTCGTCATTCTTTCAAAGTGGTTGTATTTTGTTGTCTTATTGTTTGTCATTCTGTCAAAGCAGGTGTATTTTGTCATAACATTGTGTGTCATTCTGTCATCATGGCTGTGGTTTGTG